TACTGAAATATCTGATTAAAATCAAATTATAAAAGGGTGATTATAATTGATTTGAATCTGATTTTTCTAATCTTTATTTTTTTACATAAGTATGTTTTTCAGACCAACTAAAATAATGTGAGACGAGTCGTCAAAGAAACAAAACTCGCATTGTTCACTTCGTAAACATCCAGTCCTTTATAATAATATTTTAAATTATGTGGATTAAGCATAACATAATGATCGGTAGATTTTATCTCCCATGCAAATAAATTTTCATCATAACCAACCGTCGTCAATACATCAACAAGCAGCCACTATTTCTCGTTTGCTTTAAGTATACGAATTATTTGACCAAATATTGGTTGTTCATTAATATTCAACAAACCAATTATATGTACTGTAAATCGGCAATACTCAATATTGTCATAGCATAATTTACTGCATTGAACAATATCTTTATTCAAATTAATATCACCAAAATGGTTCAACAGCAACTCTTTCATCTGTTTGTTAAAAGCTGAAATCTCAATCTTTTGAATTCGTACTGCATAATTTGACATTCTTAAATGAGGTAATCGAGATAATTTATATATTTGTTTCAAACTATATCGTGTAGCTAACATTTTTGGTACATTTTTAAAATTATTCGATTTAATTGTGATCTTTTTGAAATAAGCATGTTGTGCTTCATAACGAATACACCATTGTCGTAATGGTGGGCTTTAATCGTTTACGTTTTGATCATATTCAGATATGAAATGTATTTTAGGCGTCATTTTGTTTGGGAAGTGTTTGAACATTGATTCATGAAATGAAACACATAAGTCCTTCAGAGTGACTAACCATTTTCTTCTGAATGACAAGGATAAAACAAGATCGAGTATTTCACGTAATTGTTTATAAACGATAAAACTTGGTAGAGTAACAACAATATCGTTGAAAATTAATTGAAATATTTTAAATAGACAGAGTTTCTGTGAAGCGGTTGCTACAATTCCATCGTTCTGGAGATGTTTTACTTGAATAGGTGGTGGCCTGTTCATATTATCAAAATATCCGTAATGGAATTGTTCCATACGTTTTTGTATACCAGCTTTAAACAAAAAAGAGAAGTAAATACTGCGAAACGTCCAATGATAATTATAAATAATAATAAAGCAGTATTTTATAATTCCTTTTTTTATTCAAATAGATTATTTATCACGAATATGAATCAGTTCTATTTGATTTTCTCAATATATTCAAAATTGATCTCTTCACACCTTAGTGTATTTTTTATTTTACTTTAAAAAACGCGCAATAACATGCTAATACGTATCTCATTATATGGAAATATCAATAGGGAAATAAAGGTGAAAAAAACCTTCAAATTGTATTAATGTGCACAGAAGTTATTATAGATCATATATCTACACAAATATTAACTCTGTCACAATGATCTAAAATATGTTCAAGTCATTACATCATTCCGTTTCTACAAAGATTTATTTGACAATACATGGAAATACTACAGACTATGTGATTTTATCTGAGATAAATTACATTTTATTCAACTATTTATTAATCAATTATCAGCATACAAGGACAGATGTATCCTATTTTCCATGTTTTACATTTTGTTTACAAAAATATAAAACCGAACAATTATTATTTTGACTGAATACACCAATACAATCTCAAGTATTTTTAACTGAACATACAAGACAATACTCTACTCACTGAGCGAAAATCAACTAGAACTGATTCGAATAAATGATATATATCTAGTTTATATCAAATTTTCTCAGAAAAATATCTATGAAATAAATATGATGAAAAATTTCATTTATAGATGAGAAATAAGAGTTTCTAACCATAAGTGATGACACGATTAGAAGATGCCTGCTTAAGTATCGTCATCATAACGAGTGAGCAAGCACCTTCTAAAAAATCGTGCATCACGTCTGCAGGAAGCGAGGTTACTGAATGAAAACCGATCAGATCATGAACAGGACTTAGTGCAGTCACATCCATCCGAGGAGACTTACGAGGATCGGTAAGAATCTTCTTAACTAAATCATCATGTTCAATACATGTTCTACCGGTGATTTTGATTTTTGTTATTGGCAGATGTTTATCAGTATATTGAATATGGCATTTTCTACAAAAAAATCCATTGCTGAAACATAGCTGAAAGTCGCCAATCATATGAGCTGCTAAATTGTCGGCAACAAATGTAGAAAAAGAGAACTTCCAATGATGACCATTGATAATGAGTCCTTCAATTTGTAATTTGTTTAAGTCATAAATAATATGTTGGAAAAAGCATTCCGCTTTAGCATTGTCCTCAAAACAAAATATATTATATGATTGAGGGTGTGGGTGTGGTTGCTGACTGAGGCACAAGACAACAGCCAAACCCACATCTTCACGCCCACCCACACCCACACCCACTCACCCACACCCACACCCACCCACACCCTCACCCACACCCACCCACAACCACATCCACACCCACACCCACACCCACACCCACACCCACACCCACCCACAACCACATACACACCCACACCCACACCCACACCCACACCCACAATCTCATAAACTTCAAATAGTTTTGAGATTTTTTGCAAAATAGAAATTTGCGTTAGGTGGGAAATATATATCCTACTGGTTTTTAATGGTTAAGAACTACAAACACCTTCATGTCTTTCAGTTTTGCTGATAGCGTCAGGATGAGCCGACTCGAACTGTCTTCGCAAGTTCCATAATAACTTCGATAACATGTTCTGATTTATATCTGTGTTTTTTTGTAACTGCACAAGTTCGTGAAAAAGTATCATTCTGTTCATTGGATACTGATGGCCAGCAAAGCCAACTGTAATCATGCTAGCTAATTTATCAAGGTCCCATCGATGAAACGACGCGTTTACTTTTTCAACGTGCGCATGGAAACGATCATCCATGACCGTCATTGGAACGTTTAATTTAATCACGCAAATATAACCTAAACATACATCGTCTACAAAAGCAAGTTTTAAGCACATTTGTGGCATTTTTCGCTTGTCGACCAACATTTTCATTCGTTTTAAAATTCCCGACGAATAACACACACCCCCACCATAAATAGCGTAGCGGATTATTATATTCGGATTTTCAGGCGAGCGTATAACAGGTTCTGTGTGCGTACAGCCTATATATAATGGTAAAGATGCGTTAAAACCCTCCAAATAGTTATATAAATTATCCAAATTGACATATTGATCATCATCAAAGCGACACATCCAATCAAACTGGAGTAGTCCTCGCGATGTAAGATTGTAGTATAATTCAAATTCATGCGCCGTTTTGCAACATAGATCAAGTAGATCATGACTACCAGAACAACGGGTTATGACTACATTTGAAAAGTTTGAATAACTTAAATCATTAGCATTTTCATCGGTCAGCAAATAAATATTTCGCAGCTTCTGCTCTAATTTAGATGGTATCCAACTATGTAATAAAAATTTTAGTCGTGATCGGCAACCATATGCTGTGCGTACAATAACTAACGTACGCAAAGATATTGAGGAATTTGAAAACCTCTTTTCCCTCAAACTGATGTGTATACGATCGAGTAAGACTTCTAACAATAAATATATCCCGCAAAGAGTAGCCATAACCATCATGAACATCAATGTCTTTGATAAATTTCCCAGAAAGCCAGTTCTTTTCTTGATCATTTCGAACGAGTTATAGTCCAAAAACTACCTTGAGCAGTTCAGCATCTAACAGCTTTCATAAAACACAATGGTATTTCTCAGATGACACATACCTTTTTAAATACAATATAAAATGAAAACACTGGAAGCAGCAACTGAAAGAAAGCGTGCAGCATACGTAGTTGGAGCTGGCAGCTAATTCGAGTAATTCCACCAGCCATTTATTCAGCAGTATGTTTTAAATGTTTCACTGTATATTTCAAATACAACTGGACGAGTTCTGTCTGGTAGTATGCTCAAACTTTCAATTACTTGACATATAATTTTTAGTCAATAGACATCGCTATTGAGTTTCTAAAAAATTATATTTGAGTCTATTAAATATCTGAGCATACCAGTTGATAGAGCTCGTTGAGTTGTACTTGTAACATGCATTGGAGCATTTGAAACATGTTTTTGAACAAATCGCTGGTGGAATCACTCGAATGAACTGCCAACTTCACCTACATATGTAGCGTCATACTAAGTGTTTAGGCAACTAGGAAAAAAAACAGAGTTCTTGAAGTGTCCAGTCTGGTTTTTTAAAAAGACAACAAAAATGTTGTTGTATTTGTGTTATTATTTGTCCTTATTTCGTGAAGCTCTCTACCTATGAGCCACTGCACGATAAGGACAATCAGGGCTGCTCAATGATAATCACGGATCAAAGTTTGGCTGCGGCCATCTTACAGAGAGCTTTTTTTTAGGGATAAATCCAAATTTTTAGCCCTAAAGCTTGAAAATTGACCGAGATATGGATTTCCGACTGAAAGCACCAAAATGGGATTTTTTCAAATTTTGAGTTTTTTAGGTGGTCAACGACCAGCAGTATTTTGGAAATATCTCTTCACTAGAATGTGATAGAGACCTGAAATTTTTACCAGAAGTACATTCAGAGATGGGGAACATAATCATAGTATCAAATAAGAGATATGTCATGAAAAAGTATCGGACCCATGTTACCACATATGTACCCAAAAATGGTATAACTTGGAGACCAGCGTTCTCCCAATCAGTGAAATAGATTTTGCTCAAAATTCTTCTACAAAGACTACTATCTAAGTATTACATGCCTGTGTATTTAGAATTTTGGGATTCGAAAATTTGTCCCAGAAAATATAATCATCAAGATAATGATATTTTCACTTATATCATAAGACAAAGAGTACTGGGGTAGTACCGCAAAAAATCAGAAAGCCAAGACGGTTTGACCTGAAACTCTCAGCGATTATAGACGTTAATATTATTGATCAATTCTATAAGTTTCAGCTTGATCGATAAACATTTCACTTCATTTCGATAACTCACTCTATAATCATTATCATCGCCTTTATGATCTCACATACGATTTAGTAAGTTTTGACCCAATCTTTAGACAATTTATAGTTTGTTCACATATTATTCGATAGAAAATATTACAGTGAACTAAACTTGGTCATTATCTTTGGATTCTAGTAGGAAAGACCGTAGACTTTCAAATGTATTCTATCGTAAATATCATCCACCAGATATAATGTATGATGATTACATATGTTGTATCCATTTCAGACTTACGTTTTCTAGCTGAACATCACGGCAACTAGAGTGTGAATCTCGGTTTGTGAAAGGTCAAATCTGATATCAACGCCACGAATGAGTTGTTAAGATTGACTTTTTTCATCATTCATCGTAGGGGGCCAGAATAATGTTACAGAATCCTGAATGCTGTAGCATCAAACAAGATAAAAGAGGAGGTCACTAAGAGATGTCGATGTTTGTAAGGTTTCTAACTGGAAAAGATTCATGTGTTTTAACAACAAATGTTGTGATCGCAAGAATACTTCAGTGCTTAGTTGATTTAAGCTTAACAAAAAAGTATTTGAGTGACATAAGTTAATGGGTAGTTAATAATGTGAAAAATACTATCTATAATGTTTTCGTAGTGTCAAGGACTATTATATAGAGACCTCTCGTTCTTAGTGAAAGTATATGTTCGATTCAACGAATAAAGACGAAGTCTAATTGAGCTTTATCTAAATACGTGACCATCCGAAATTTATGTTTTCGGCAAAAAAGCAGCGAATTGGACAGGCACTCATGAAATCTTAGAGAACTACATCAGGCCGTCATTATCGAAAGGTTTCAGCAGGATATTATGCATTGTAGTTGTTATCGACTGACAGGTGCAAAACTATTGCGTTACAGTCGAAGCATTACCATCCTGGTATACACCGGGCTTAATGTATGCCTGCTTCTCTACATCTAAAATGTAGTCAAATATTATGATCCAATTATATCTTCACTTAATAGTTATTTTTCTATTTCATACATTGAAGAAACCT